AGATAGGCAGAGCCAGCTGTCACTCAAGCAGCTGGGCGGATCCAGACATAATTGTCGGGATCCACTTCAGCTGCGGCGTCTCGGTATACCGCGAGCTGTAGCTCGCGGTATACTGAGCTTAGGGTGACGGGAGGACGCTAGTTTGTGTCCTCCCATTACCCTAAGGAGAACTATGGGGAAAAGCCCTAACCCCATAGTTCTCCTTTTAAGTAAAAAAAAAGTTAAATAAAATTAAAAATCACCCACCCCCACGAACGCGCACATACTAACAGAAACACGAGTCGGGTGTACCTCTACACACACACACACACACACATATATATATATACACACTGCATATATTTGTATTTCTTGCCCAATTTTGGTGTGTTATTGTGTTATTTTAAATAAAAGTTTGGTTATTTTATGATATTGGCTTACAGTTTTACAATTTATATTATTTTAAATCCATGAAACTAATTATTTAAAATGTCTAATATAATACAATAATTTTTTTTTTAAATATATAAAAAAAGGTAGGAAAAGTAATTTTAAGTTTTGGCCTGACAAATTTTGCTGCAGGAGGTGCGTTGCGGTGCCATTCATTTTAATGGATCCCAAATGCACCTCCTGTCCGACTCCGCAGTGTAATACCCGCACTGGAACACGTGGTACTGCAATGCCCTGCATTCCAGTGTAGTGCGATTTCAAAAAATGTGCATACCGTTTTATTCTGTAGTAAACTTTATGTTTGTAACTCTGCATTTGTGTATTTTATTTTAAATAAATTATGGTATTAATTTTTATTTAATCAAAAAAATAAATCAGCCAACTAATTGATTATGAAAATGATCATTAGTTGCAGACCTACACAAAACACAGAAATGGTGTTACAATGCCCTCTATTGTACTCTCCACAACAATATATGGAAGATGCTCTTGTGACAAGAATGGTTTAGCTTACACTCAGCTCAGCCTATTCCGGCCATGCAATGAGAAGGGGGTTAGGATCAGCAGGAAAGATGCAACGGTAAACAAAAACTTACTCACTCAACCCCAAAATGAAATGAATTTGAAAGGAACTGTTCTTAAGTGCTCATAAGCCAGTATCATAGGGCTTATATGTACTTATTCGTAACAGAATCAAATAGAGCACAATAAAACGTTGCGAGGAGGTTTTGTGGTATGGGAGTGTGCTAAATTCCAACTCAATGAACTGACAAAATGTACATCTTCTGATGGCACCTAATATGGCACTGTGAGGAGTTAATTATTGACTTGACAACCAGTCAGTAATACAAACAAAACCATTTTGGGGGTATACTTAGATTAAATGAAACTTTGGAAAAACATTGTTTTGTTTTTGGGATAAGTAGGGAATGGTTAAACACGTAAAGATTTATTTTGTGCACTCGATTTCCACATCCACTCTAAAAAACGCGGATGGATGAATCTCCGTTGTATGCGCGATTTTTTTTAGGCGGGTCATTTTGATTTTTCAAAGTTTGTTAAGCCAGGGTAGTGTCAGCAGGGTCACCCACAGCTAAAATTTGAGCCGTGTATGGCAAACTTTACAACCTCTGTCAGGTTTTATTGTTGTCAGTGTCACTTCCTGTTCCTTGACACCAAGAGAAAATATGATGGGAAAGGGGCACTGTAACAGGAAAACAGCAATATAAACAAAACAGCAGTTCTAACCCTTCTCTGCTTTCCCAATAAATATTACTGATTTTTACTTCATTCAAGTCTTCCCGGAGTTTTCTGAGCTACGAACTGGGACTCCACATGCTGCATTCACGTGCGGTCATACAAACTGTAAGTACAAGACATAACATGGAAATTCCACTTGAATGCTCTTCAAACTCGGAGCTCCATTGTGGAGAATTCTGTTGCAGTTGCCCTGAATTGTCTGGCTCAGAACCTTGCATATAGAGCTCATTCACGCCACGTGCATTGGACTGTGTTGCCTAGCGCAGATCCATTGTTTCCAATGAACTCAGTTCACAACAATGTGTTGCGTTGGTGTGCGGCGGGTGAAAATTTTACATGCGGCATTTAAATGCAGGTCAATGCACTGCAATCTGTTACAGCACATCACAGTGCACAACATGTGAAGAAAAGAAAAATAACGTATTTTGGCTCCTGCTGTGAACAAAACAAAACAAAACCCGTCAACGCATGACAACCCAAGTGCATTTAAGGACCTATCACACATCATATTGCAGGAGTGCAAGTTACATACATACATACATACACATGCGGTGCCATTCATTCTGAAGAGCTCATTCACACTATGTGCAGTCGCCTGTGTTTTTCTACACAAGACAACACAGGTCACTGCCAGGACACACAGAAAACCACTGCTTTCTATGTGCCCTGTACAGCACTGACTTGAGGTGAGTTGTAGAAAATGCAATTGCATTGCACCAGACCTTACCTAAATCCACTGTTGGTCACCACAATGCTACTCAATGCAAAAAAAATGTCAACGGTGTAATTCACTGAAACAGTACAAAGCACCCCCTGCAGCACACAGCAAACACTAGTCTCCATAGAATGGGCATACATGACACCCCAATACACCTTGCTCAGGGGTGTGCATTGCAGTGAAGCATAATTTATGTTGCGGTGCTCTGCCCAAAACGCTACATGCTCTTCTGACTTAAACACAGCCACCCTCCACGGGCCCTCTTGAATAAAATTAGTCTTTATTAAAGTAAGTCAACAAATATACACCATCATAGCAGTCCTTATGTGCACCACTCTGGCTTAATAGTCGAGATATGATTAAGCTTCAGCGGTGAGATGCGTTAGGTTTCGCACATGAGGACTGCTAGGATGGTGTATATTTGTTGACTTACTTCAATAAAGACCGATTTTATGCAAGAGGATGTGGAGTGCGGCTGTGTTGAAGTCAGAAGTTATTGTAGGTGAGAACGCACCGTTTAGTCTGCACCTGGGACATATATGGTGTGTGAGTCCAGTTTTGGTTATTAGAGCGTTTGGGGATTTCGTGGAGCTGTATGATCCTTGTTTGGTGTGTTTTGGTTAGACAGCCTGTTCAAATGAATGAGCTCCCCTAACGCAACACACATTAATTTGCAGCGTAAGGTGCATACACTTACACAGTGCAATAGTGTAAACTGGGCTTTAGCACGTGTCAATGTCCACGTAATGCCACACACAGGGTGTGAATCCGACCTTACTATCTGTAGCATGTATAAGCAGCATTATTTCCAATTCCTCCTCCATTCACACTTGTGCATGCACATTTGCGTGCATTTTTGCTGCACATTTTCATGTGTTATATGTTTTGGGTTTTGCCAATGAAGGGGAAATAAAGTTGGTAGATGACGGTGGCTTGTTGTCATGTGCTAAAACGCATGAATATGCATAATACATGCATTTTTTCATGCATCCCATTGACGTCACTAGGGCTAAAAACACACTATGCTGCACAAAAACAAGTACCTGCACCATTTTCCAAGTTGCCAGAAAGCGTGTTGCATGGGTGTAAACATGCCCTACAGAAAATAATGCCTTTTAGTCATGCATTGCCATGTGACAGGCAAAGCATTTCTAATCGCAAAGATGTGAACGAGGAATAAAGCAAATTCTCCTCACTTCCTGTTCCTGTGTACCCATGTCACTGGGACAAGAAGTGAGTGGAAATCTTCCCAAAGGGGACACAGACAGAAATTATAACATGACAAAGGTTTTACCCCTCCCCCACTATTCCACATCATGCTTTGGCTGAAGTTGGGTTTGAAGCCAGAAGATCAGCATGACAGCCAAGCACCTAAAAAATGTCAAAGCGCAACAGGAATCTACGCATAGGTCTCAACACATACTTGCTTTAAAGCTGAACTCTGGGCATGAAAACCTTCATTTAAATATATTCCTCAATAGCCACAAAGCATATACATCCACTTTGAGTGCACATAATACATATAAAAACCCAGATATTACCATGTAAATACAGCAGTGACATCATCATTGTGCTGTACATGGCCTGTGGAGAGAGCAGAGCTGTGGGAGGGACCCAGCAGGCTCCAACCTCTATAGGCTCCCTGCAGAAAAGTACAGGATGGGGCAGAGACAATACCAGTCATCCTGCACAAGGACAGAGAGCAGAAGTGACTGGTCTTTATGACAGGAAGCTCTAAACAGAGGCAAAGTTCCACACTATATTACTGCACAGATCTGGAGAAATACACAAAGCACACCAAGACACAAATAAAAACACACATGCCTCTTGTATTGAGCCAATGTTTGCCTGTCCCGGAATTCAGCTTTAAGGTATAACTTACCTAAAATAAAAATGGCTACAACCTGACATGGGCATACAAGGGCTGTCCTCCTAAATTGTACTGCTCGTTCTTCAGCCCATGGACTTGCACAGACACTCATCAAAGTCTATATTAGCTCAGATGGATCCGTCAGACTAAATCAAGTGCACTATAAAACAGTTAATAAGGTCCTGAGCTTTCTTTCAGTGCCACTGCTGCCTGAAGTCCATGTGATTGTGTCACCTCCAGAGGAAGCAGATCTTCCAGACCTCGTTCTGTCCCATCGCAGGAACAGCTATGAATTAATACTGACATCACTGCCCAGCATAGGAACCACCAAGACTGTATAACACACAATGCCGCCTATATAGTGCGCACATAAGCACATTTCACCTACTCATGTAAAACGTTATTCCGCGATATTTCTTCAGTTTTTTATCATCAAATGTCACTTTGCCCACATCAAAGATGGCGGAACTACAGCACACGTTACGCTCTAGTGTCCACTACGCGAGGTAAATTTACAAACATATTATCACAATTTATTTATTATATACATCTATTTTATAATGCTAATGTAACTCAAGGTTGTTCGGTGTAATTTGACCAGTTTAGGTTTATATACATTTACAGCAATACGGAAGCGCAAAGCTGAACGCTTTTGTTTATAGGGGGCGGAGCTAATTCCCTCATGGCGACGGGGGCGGAGTTTCCTCTCATTACCTCATCTAGTGCGACAGTAGGCTTCAAAGCAAGGGGCAAGATGGCGTCGGGAAGTGGGGTAAGGGGTTTCTGGGGATTGGCATTGGTTGTGTGTTTATGGCATAAGCTGGGGTTGGAGAAGTGGGCAGCGACTTATTGCTATCTACGGAGTGGTTTTCAGAGTGTCTGCATAGAGCAGTGCTTGGCAGCACATAGATATAGACAATGGGGAATTCATCAAAACTGGAGCAGGCAGAATCTGGAGCAGTTGCTCATGGTAACAAATCAGCTTCTCTCTTTATTTTTCAAAGCTGAACTGGAGATAGAAGCTGATTGGTTACTATGCTCAGCTGCTCCAGGTTCTGTCTGCTCCAGTTGTGATAAATTCCTCCCATAGTGTTTGAATGTTGTTTCTTTCTGTACCATCATAATTCTAGATAAGAATCAGTATTAATGTGTATGTGTAGCCAGAACTTGTTTTGCATAGAGTAATGAAGTGCTGAACACTTGCCAGTTTATTTTTTTGCTGTTTAAGTACCATTGAGGAAATGAAAATAAATTTCCCCTCTGCAGGCAAAACAGACTGTTGGAGGAAATCTCCCAAAGTGGGGTGAAGTTCCTATTGTAAGGTGTACATATGTGGGAAGATTTCTGCTGAACAAGAGAAATCACTACATTTTCCCATCCACACTAAGTAGCGTGGTTGGAGGACTATCTCCTGACAAACTTCCAAAGGCCAATAGAAAGAGTTGGGTAGAAAATTGTTGGCTGAAGAGCGAGTGCATCCAATCGGCTGCAGACTGTGAGGATAGTCGTGGGCGCCAGATGTCTGAATACAACCGCCTGCATTTGCAGAATACTGTAACAGTAGAAATGACTCTGGGGTTTGTGTGGACCCAGTTCACCCCAGCCTGCTCAAAACTTTGACCACCGCTACTCCCCCTCCTGGCTCAGTCAGTGGAGGCAGTTGTGGCAGGGGCATTCTGCTTTGTGACATATAGGTGTGAGGCTGGGAATGCACCTCTCCACAACTGATGGGCCCGGGGTGGGGGGGCGATCATAGTTTTATTTGGGCATGGGCGCACTGGATTTACACCAAGCCCAGGCTCATCACTACTAAACCGATTGGATGCAGTTGCTGTTCAGACAATTGTTTTTCACTTGCCGCCTCCTTCGATTTTTCATTCAAAGGTTGTCGAGCTGACAGGGCCGCTGCTTAATTTTCGGGTGGTTCTGCAGAAATTGGCTGAAATTTGAGCTATGTATGGCCATCTTTAGACTTCTTGTTCTGGGGACAACGCAAACGTTTTAGATTTCCCATCGCTTTCTGTCTGAGTGACTACAGTCATCAGAAAGGAAACTCCCCACAGGGGACATAACAATAATTCAACGTAATAAGAGGGTCCAAGCCTTTCCCACCTTGTCCAGAATGAAAGAACAAAAGGGCTTTACCTAGATATGGAGACATGGCTGGCATTGCTGACCTTCTCCTTCTGAAAATGGTACTTGCTTAAACAGGCCATACGCTAGGCGGAAGCCAAGAAATGCAACAGATTCCTCCATTCATACTAAACAGTGTGGCCGCACGAATCTCCCACTGCGGCTATTGTATTCTGACAGCAGTACCTGCTATTTGGCTGCAGTCACTGTTGGGCTGGCAGTTTTCAGCCTGGCTCCTTTGACAAAAGGTAATTTAATAATTGATTTTTGTCTAGCTGCTATAAGACGTTCTAACAGGGTATTATTATTATTCAGGATTTATATAGCGCCAACAGTTTGAGCAGCGCTTTACAATATAAGCAAGACATTACAATCACAATACAATTCAAGACAAAATGGTAAGGAGGGCCCTGCCCCTGAGAGCTTACAATCTAAAGGCTGTGACACACTGCATGCAAAGCAGCACGGAGCGGTGGTGCGCTGCCTTCACGAGCAGTGTGTCCTGTGATTTTCTCCTCGGCAGCTCAGCTTGCGAGAGCTTGCGTAGCGGAGCGTGCCGAGATGAAAAATGTCATCTTCAGCCAATCAGCTCGCGCGTATAAACACGTGCTTCGGCATGCGACATCTGGCTGGTTTTTACACACGAGCTGATTGGCTGAAGGTGCATGTCAATCATCCGCCTGCACTCAGCTCACACACTGCACGCAAAGCTCCGTGCCGGACAGCTTTGCACGGCTATGCGTGCAGTTTGTCACGGGCTTAAAAGGGAGGGAGAAGTGATACATGAGGAGGGTATGGCCAGTGTTAGCTGTCACACTATTCCACTGGCTTCAGTATTTTGAATGACTGAGTTAGAACTGTCAGTGATTTCAGTCCCTTTGCTTGTTTTAGGTCAGCAACTCTGAAAGCATTGAGGGCTTGTTCACACCAAATGCAGACCAGATCTGCATGTTTCTGCACATGCAGTGCGTTTTGCCGCGTTTGTTAATGCGTTCTGGGCCATTTGTTTTAGCCTACAATGGGCTTTCAGTGCGTTTGCATGCTTTTTTGATGCGTTTGCATGCGTTCCAGGGCAGGAAAAATATGGCTTGCTGCAGTCTTTTTTTACATGCTCTGGAACTGAACGCTGCGGTATGAACTAGAGCCCAAAGTACCGTTGAAATACTTTAGACGCAGTTTTGATCCGGTCTATAACTGCTCTGCACCTGCTCTGCGCTTGTTGTGAACTGGCCCTGAAGCTGTCTGGATTAACAATGGCAGCCTCCATATTTCTACAACCACAAGCTATACAGGTGAAACTCGAATAATTAGAATATCGTGCAAAGTTCACTTATTTCACTAATGCAACTTAAAAGGTGAAACTAATATATGAGATAGACTCATTACATGCAAAGCAAGATAATTCAAGCCGTGATTTGTCATAATTGTGATGATTATGGCTTACAGCTCATGAAAACCCCGAGAACCCCAAATCCACAACCTCAAAAAAGTAGATTATTACATGCAATCAATAAAACAAGGATTGTACATAGAACAATATCGGACCTCTGAAAAGTACAAGCATGCATATGTACTCAGTACTTGGTTTGGGCCCCTTTTGCAGCACTTACTGCAATTACTTTTGCACGATATTCTAATTATTCGAGTTTCACCTGTAAAGCAGGGCTGAACAAATTCCAGGGGCCAGGTAGACCAATTCTCTTTAAAAATCACAGCTGGCTCCTAGATTTTGAGGTTTTCTCCAGTTGTTCGCAATGGAGCTGACTCCTAAAACAAAATCCTGTTGGCTCCGAGATTGGGCAGACTGGCTCCTGATTTCCATGTTCATTTGTCTACTCCTGCTTTGTTTAGAGAACAGCGTTTCACCTGCCACCTCTTTCGATTTTTCATTTAAAGGCTTTGTCGAGCCGACTGGGCCGCCCACTGCTTAGATTTGTCCTAGGGTCACATATATGTAAAACATACCTGCAAAAGGAAGACTGCATTTACTTCACTTTCCAGTGAATGGTTTCTTAAAAATCCACCAATTTGCTGCTCGCCATCCTCTGCAAGTATTTGAACGTTCAGATGGGTCCAATGCCTGTTGCCTGGACGTGTGTGATTTACTTTCAAAGGACGGTGAGCAGCTTTTAAAAAAATCAGCTTCCCCTTGAAGGGTTACTAAATGCCGGTTGCCTCGAGTCAGTCTCCTATCGAGTTTGGTTGCCTGCCGTCACTATTCACTAGACCAGATCCCCCTATTAAAATGCTTGCGTGGGGATGTGCAGAGACGCCCAAGTATTCATCCTGTTTAGGGCAGCACAGGTAGAGATGCACATGACACCTACAGTACCTCTGCTATGGTCTATGACTTTTTTTGTTTTTTTCTACTGTTCAATGTTGTAAGTGTTGACTAAATTGAAAAAAGTTACAGGATCCATGCCTACGAGTCCATGCCTGGTTACTGGCACTTCACACTGAGAGCCTCGATTTTGTATTGTTTTATCGCACAAAACAGAGATTTGTATTCAAATCTATGGAAGCTGTTCAAACCTTTGCGATGCCGTGTGGTAGAAATCACCTGTCGCACAAAAAGGTGCAGGAGCTATTTTCGGGCGGTTGTTGCACGGTTTGGGTCTCGTAGACATCTCAATGCATTGAAAGCCGCAGAAACAGCTCACCAGCTCAGTCGCCTAGCTGTGAACCTAGCCTCAGGATCCTGTGCTGACCCGTGTTATACGAAGCAGCTGTAATGTTCATGGCCCTAATGTTCATGGCCCACCAGTGCTTTGTTCCTGCATTCTAGCCAGATAGAGGAGCAACTCTGTAACTAGCTACAAATTGCCAGAGAAAATAAGCAGAGAGGTTTGTAGCTGCTACAAAGTTACTGGTGTCACATGGCTTTTAGTCATCCAGCCCTCCCTAAACTGACACTGTCATATTGCCCATTCAGGGTAAAGTGACAGTGTCTTTGCCCATTCAGGGTAAAGTGACAGTGTCTTTATAACCTATCTCCAGGTTAAAAAAAACCAATAAAATAGTACCCTTGCGGTGGGCTTTCCCCTGCACTGCATTGACTTGTGGACTGTCCCTCAGCGTTCTCATGCATAATGCAGGCCTATGGTTCCAGCATTAGACGTGGTGATATCAGCGTGCCAACAACTGTCTTGGAGTCTAGAGGACGTATACTTCCTGATCCCCAATCCTGCAGACACAAATAAACAGTTAACTCTTGCAGTGCGGTGATGACCCCACTTGAGACTGGTTATATGTTTTAAAGATCCCACCGATACTCAGTTTTGCAGGTCTTCCCCTTCACTCTTTCATCTGTTGCAGCTAGCCCTAAAATTCTCAGTGTTGTCTGGTGTCAGGCAACGGGGAAGTGGCGAGGTCACGCCTCATGTCGTGTGATGGTGCTAGACCCCTAGCACTGTCACATGCTCCATCTTTCCTAGAAACTTTACGTGTTGCTGGAAAAGGGGTAGCGTTGGCAAAGGTGAGTATCACTGAGTCTGAGGGTGCCCTTTACAAAAACAGTGTCACTTTGCCTTGAATGAGCAAGGTGACAGTGTCTCTTTAAAACTCAATGCCAGCCTCAACTTTTAGCAAACTCCTTGTGTCCCCTCACTTTGTTGTCAGTACATTCTGATCGTATCATGCCACTATGCTTCTAACCATCTCAAACTTTTCTGCACAGCCTATTTCTTCTGGTCTGGATGACAACTAGTGTCATTCACTTATTTCCAACATGGCCTGGCTGTCAAGAACACATCCCCTGTAGTCCTCCGCAGCTAACATGCTTACTTCTTTTATTTGGCAATTCAGCTTGTCACGATGCTGCCTCCGGCCTGGTGATTGGACAAATAATCAGGATCTTCACCTCTGTCCAATGAGCACTGCGGTGACGCAGAGAGCAATTAAATTATAATCCTGAATGTTAAGGTGGCCATACACCTTACAACCATTGCACGACTTTCGTTGTGCGATGGTTGTAAGGTGATTAAAAGTTCGTACGACCTGCCCATCTTGGACAGGCAGATCGTACTTGCGATCATCGGCCCATGCGGCTTTCGTCTTGCGATCGTGCTAACAACCTGCCAAAAATCATGCGATTTTCGGCAGGTTTTCTAGCGTGCTCGTAATAAGAAAGTCGTGCGACTGTACAGTAAATGCGTTCGCACCCTGCCCATACCTAATCGCGGGTGATCCCGCGATGGTACGATAATCTTCAGGTGTATGAGCAGCTTTAGAATCACAAGACTTATCAAGAAATTATGTTTTCAGCTATGTATTTATTGGTTTGTTTATAGTTGTGCTTTTCTTTTTCTTTTCATGAAGTCTCTATTATAGGTTTTAATTCTCCACCATTTCTTTACAGTCTAAAAATACGGATTTCCGTCGAAAGTGGGACAAAGATGAATATGAGAAACTTGCCCAGCAACGAATCACTGAAGAGCGAGAAAAGAAAGATGGTTTGTATTTTGCTTCTAAATTGAACATTGCTGTGGCAGGCATGTCCGAAAAGTAACTATTTCTGCCTTTGGCATCACTTATTTTCAGTCTGTGGGCCACCATGGTGAATGAAAAAAAAAATGTGCAATGGCTTTCTTATACAATCTGGAGCTGTTACTTATAGCAACCAGTCATATAAAATTGTTTCATCCTAAAGCAGAACTGAACTCTACAAGCTTGTGTAATCAAGAAAGACTGTATACCATGACCCTGAAGAGTTAGTGGGTTAGTCCTGTTATGCTGGGGTGTAAGGTTGACATCATGCAAGTAATGTGTAGCATAGCATCGTGTCCTGCAATGATGGAGGACAGCAAGGGGTAGGATAGGGTGCCCTATGGTATGTTAGCTCTGTGTGAGGCAATGCTTTGTCTTTTCAATGTAGACATAAGTTTAGACCTACTAATGTGGAGTTCAGTAGCCTTTTTCCTATGTGAGATCCAATAGACTGTGTTTATTCCGCGCAGACTTGTTTTTATGCAAAACATGTAAAGCAAACATAATAAGATAAAAGCAGGCACCAAGCTGCATCTGTAAATACTTATATAATAATAAAGTTTTCCTTTTGCAGCATTCTACTCTAAAGGTGCCCATACACTGCTCGATTCTCGTACGAGAATCGGGCGAAATCCCGCGATCGTACGAGAATCGAGCAGTGTGAACGAAGACGTGCGACCGTTTCTACTGTACGGTCGCACGTCTTTTGTCGAACCAACATGCTCGAAAACCCGCCGAGAATCGTACAATTGTCGGCGGGTTTCTAGCCTGCTCGTCCGGTAGCTGCAGAACGTGCCGGTGTGCGCACGCGCACACTGCCCGTTCTGCATTGCGGTCATCGGAAGCCCGCCCCTCAGTGGGGCAGGTTTTCGATGATTGCAAGTACGATCTGCCCGTCCAAGGTGGGCAGATCGTAAGAGCTTTCAATAAGCATACGGCCATCGCAAGACAAAAGTCTTGCGATGGTCGTAAGGTGTATGGGCACCTTTAGTCAGCACCCTTGCATATGCCATGCTAATATCTAGGGAATTGTCTTTTTAGCTGGTGGTTGTGCTAGAGCTCCAGGTGTTCAGTAAAGGATTACCGCAGCTGTAATTATTTAATTGCCTTGACTACTTGGTTTTGCTTGGTGTTGGCATTATTGCCTGGAGGTAGATTCAGAATGAATTGCTAGGACAAGAGGCCATTGTTAGGAATTGGTAATTGGCATTACTGGGTTACTATGTTTCTTATGATGCAAGAGGGGAGTAGAATGCCCTGTGCTGCCCCATTGAGATGAGTTGGTGTACTTTGGGGCAGGGCGTTAGGTTTGAAGATATGATGGTGCCATTTTATACTCAATGGGTCATAGTGGGCCTTATTGGTCAAATTGCCTCATTGTGTAAAGAATGCAAAGAAGTGTAGCAGTCAAAAAAGATTATTTCTGAAATCAGACCAGTATAAGATTAATTCTTATTGGTTGCAATAGTTTATTAGGTTAAAACCCAGTTGATGTCACAGAAATAGTACAGGGTCTGTCTGACTGAATACCTATCATGTTTAATATTAAAAGTTAGGCACATGGTGCAGTCCCATAGGCACCAGAGTTTGGGCTCACTGACTAGTGCACTTCTTATTTTATCAGACCTGGTCAGACACATACCTTCTCTTCCTCAGCACTACAAGTTTGTAGGAGGATGTTTTAAAGAGTGGTTTGGCTGTTATTCATCTATGTCCACACTGAGCCCTGGAGTGGGAGGGCAAGAAGCTCAAGGTAAAAAGGTTTTTTAAACAGATTTGCACTTGGAAAAACAATTTAAAAAAAAACAACATCTACCAAATCACTATACAGAGAAAAATGGTTTGAGACTTTAATTGGACTTTAAGAATGAGCACTTTGCTGTTTGCACTCTATGGGATAACACCGCTCGTCGAGTAAGACCCATTTGATTGTTCAGATATAAACCAGCAGAGGAAAATGACAGGAAAGTTTAGATTCTATTACTAAAGGACATGAGCTGTTATTAAAAAAAAATGTAGAACTATCAGTATGGTGAGGAGAGACAGAAACTCTTCTTCAGATGCATTATGAGGAATTTATGAGACCAGCAGTCTGGTGTGCCGACATTTTATATACTATTGATGAGTCCAAGGGCACCAAAGATATCCCAGAACAGATGAAAGTACATAGCAGGAACTTCCTCTTGCTATGCGATCACACACTTCAGGATGAACTTCCAAGTTTCGTTTCTGAACAAACCTTTTTTCTGATCTTCTATGTGCATATCTCCAGTCTTAATGTGAAATGTTGTCATATTATTTTAGCCTTTCATTTTACAAATGGCTTGCATGCATTTTACAAAATGGAGAAAGATGCAATTTATAAAACATTTCTTTTATTTGTAGGAAAACCACTTCAGCCTCCCGTTAAGAGAGAATTACTCAGGCATAGAGACTACAAAGTCGACCTGGAGTCTAAGCTGGGGAAAACCATTGTTATTACAAAGACCACTCCACAATCTGAGATGGGCGGGTAAGAATGCTGCTGTTCTTTTATTTGCGGAATGTTCTCTAAACACAAGAAAAAATAATACTGTAGGTAAATTATGACAATAAACTCTTATTTGCTGCCTTTTGGGCTGCAAAAAAATAAAATTGAAATTATTTTGTCATATCTGCTTGATTAATGCAAAAAATACCTGTTGATTTTACCAGAAATCGTGTCAGGTGATAACTTCCTGTGCTCTCTGCCTGTGTGGGGGGATGAGGAGAGGTCTGTATTCTTTGTAAACCATCAGAAATTAGGTAGGCGGGGCTGTCACCATGTGCTTAGGAATTCAGAGCTAGGTTGTCATATCAAAGAAGAAAGTAGGAGCATACTATAAATCTGGTACATGAACAGACGTGCTTTAAATGAGAACTATGGGGGTCAGGGCATTTCCCCATAGGGTCACGGGAGAATACAAACTAGCGTTCTCCTGTGACCCCCAAGCTCAGTATACCGCGAGCTACAGCTCGCGATATACTCAGACGCCTCAGCCGGTGCGGATCCCGACAATACTGCCTTGATCCACCCAGCTGCGGGATTGACAGCTGGCTCTGCCTATCCAGAGGCAGAGCCAGCTGTGCCCACCCCCTTCTCCGTCCGTTTCGACCAGTAAGCATTGGAGGATCTGACAGGGGAGGGGGGAATCTCTGCAGGCATAGATCGAGAAGTGAGCGAGCCGACAGTATGTGTTCGCTCACTTCCCGATCTACTGAGCCGAACTGTGACAATTTGTCACAGGCCGGCTCAGATTATGAGGCTGACTGAAAATCACTCTCCTCATAATTCTCCTTTTTAATATATTGTAGCTGAATAGTACTTAAATGGAAGTGACTGGACTTTTGTTTTCTCAATGCAGACTTACTTTTTTCGGAGAACTTGCTGATTTTGGCCACTCTAGCACCTGTAATAAAAAGACAATAAATATTAAAGTATTATTTAAAAAAAATAGGAAATCTCCTTAATTGGACATTAAAAATGACAATAATCCTTCCCTGCGCTATTCAAAAAGCTTTGTCTTTAGAAAAGCTTTATTTACGATAAAAAACAGTCATCCAAAAATATCACAACAGTAAGCAAAGCCATCAAAGTACTGAAGACTACAATATTTATTAGGAGCCTCAAATACGAAAAGTGAAATCCTAATTCTTGTTCATACTTATAAGGCCTAAAGTGACCCTGTTGCTATTTTAAAGAAATCCCCCTTGCAAAAAAAAGCTTTAAAATGAACACTTCACATTGGCTATACTGCCGAATTCTGATTTTTTTTAATTTTTTTTTCTTCCAAGTAATAAACTTGTTGAAGAATTGTCCACATGCAGCAGAGTTTGTGTGGCTGCGCTCCTGTGGTTCCTTTACTGGCCCCCTATATCACTACTATGTTATGAGTAGTGATAAGTGTCTGATGTAGAACATTTTTCAGAAAGCTTCTCTCAAGAGTTTAGCGTTGCTGTGCTGCTATTCTCATAGGATTTCTTGTGCCCAGCTCTCGGGAGGCAGCAATGAAGCATGGCGATGTCTGTGGTTTCAGTTATTTTTCCTTTTAGTGGCTTTTTATTTAAAACATTTGCATTCAGGGGTGTCATGAAAAGTCCACTTGAAAAATGAAACCATAATGTTAACACAAATTAAAGTGAAAAGAAAAGTGAGACCTTCCTGTTTGTGGCCACCTTCAGAGATCCAGGAGATTTAAGACTGCCTCATTCTGTCCAAAATGTAAAGGTGTGCGTGCGTGCATACATACATACATACATACATACATACATACATACATACATACATACATACATACAGTGAGTGGGACTGTGCGATCGTGCACAACTGCACACAGCGATTGCCGCGTGGCATCCCAGTCCGCCTGGTGCGACTGGGATGCCATCAGAAAATAATGGCACTACCAGCGAGATCGGCGGTGGTGGGAGACTACGTGACGGCACAGTATTACGCACGGTCACAGATCGCCCAGGTGTGAACCTGGACTAAAAGAAGACTGCAGTTCCATATGCAATATGTCAAACTCAGGGTTAAGGTATATTGTTTGAATGACGGCATACTTGCAGTGATCTCTGTATAGTAGTAGCTCAGTTTAGATTAGAAGTTGATTATTAGACACAGGTCATCCTTACTTGTAGGACTGAAAAAATTGTAAGAAAACGGTTTTAATGCAGCAGGTGAAAAAGACGTTGCCTTAACAGAACAAGGCTGTTTTTTATATAGAGATTCTTATTTTGAGTTGTATGCAATACACTACAATCATATTCCAGAAAGCTTTTCATATGTTGGGCAGGTATGTCTGCTTCCTTAATATCTGCAATGTAACTTCCTTTCTCAGCTTGATACCAACATTCAGATTGTCTTCCAATGCGGGGTTAATTCTGATTTGGTTGCTGTGATGAAGCAACTACAGTGAACTTAGTTCTGATGTTTTGATGCAGCAGGCTTTGTGTGAGAGACGACAAGGACACGGTGCTATACCTGGATGAAAAATTGTAAGCCATGATCATGTAGGCATTGTGTTCCTGCATGCATTCCAAGGCTTCATTTTAATTTTTACTCTTAACATGTGCTGTTCATATATTAAATGACTCCCGCCATTCCTCTTGCTATTTTGGTTCCTGTGTATAGAGGCTGTTCCCTCTCACAGGTCTCCAGCAATCCCTAGATAGCAGCTTCTTCTATTTTTCTGTGTTTGCTTTATAAAATATAAAAGCCCTAATAATATAATACTTTGTGTTTCTGGCATAAAAGTCCTTGTTCAGGCTCTTCCTGTTTTATTGTGAGAATGTTTTGCCCCTGTTTCCCAATTGTTGGTGGGGTTTTTTTGTTGTTTTTTTTAAATGTAATTTTTTTAAATTTGTAAGAGTTGTGGAAAGGTAACTGTCAGGTTTTTATTGCTGTCCCCCATGGAGAAAAACATTTCACTCACTTCTTGTCCCACCAAAAGGGTGTCCCGAGAACAGGCAATGAGGATTAATGCTACATTCACATGCTGTTCTACGTATGGTAAAAAAACATTTCACCATCCTCCATGAAGGGACACAGGAATTCAGAAACAGTCTGGTTATACTGCTGCCTGCAGCAGGTTGGGACACTAGCAAACAGAAAAGTTGTAAACCAGTGCACTTGCAACAACACAGTTGAGTATTGTCTGTGACTTATTTTTATTTTTTCACTAAACATTAAATTTTCAAGTTTTTTCGGGGACCACCCAATTCTTTTAAGGTCCAATCAGTACTGATTCACGAAGGTTTAGCAGTATTGTTAAGAAATATGCAATTCAACCATCTCTAGAAAAACAGAGAAACTGGTTAATGAAAGTTTGGTAATGAAAAATGAATAAAGAGGAGTGAGGGTGAGAATGGTCCCAAAACTATTTGACAGTGGTTTAGAAAACAGAGTACTCCGCAGAGTACTAGCAGAATCCTTCCATAACAAAGTTTACGGCAGCAGAACCATCAGGACAAGCATAAATGATGTGCTTACCTTTCGGGACATCACTGATTGACAGTTGATTTTCCTCATTAGATGCCAGTGTAAATTAACTGGCTTGACTTTCTTTCCTGTGTTTGGCAGTAACCTTTATCTTGAAACTGTGTCAGAATGGAAAGGATCCCTCCACCACCCATACCCCCCCCCCCCCCCCAATGTATTTGCGGCCCCGAC